TATTTTCTTTGTACTTTGATATTATTTATTTCTTACTATAATACTACTTCTCATCAACCTCTTTATCTTAAAAATTACAATCTATTTAAATAATAGTTATAAGAAAATTTTTGCTTAACTTATAACTATTACAATATTATTAGTTTTACAAAAACCAAACTTACAATTACAAAATCTACTTTCTTTAACACCCTTTACTACTTATATTACCTAGTTAATTCTACTACATCTGTAAAAGGATCTATTGAGTCTGACCTGGTCACATTAGGTACTGTACATATATTTCTGGTTTTAGCGCAACTGCACAGCTAATTTATTAATTTGAAACTTTTTTTATTATGTGCAGCACTTCTCAAGGATAGCCTCGATAATAAAGAATTTTTATTAAGCATGTCAATCAAATTTTATTTTGGATTCGACACGTTTCAAATGATTTCGATAATTAACATCTTTTTCAACAGCTTTTTGGTACCAATATAATGCTTTATTCCAATTTTTTTCTACACCTTCACCGTATTCGTAACAATTACCAAGTTCATATTGTGAAGCAGGTAGACCCATTTTAGCCGCTTGTTCAAATATTTTAAATCCTTCAGCCTTATTAGCATTAGTTCCACGACCTTTTTGGTAACATAATCCTAAGGTATTCAATGCCATTGCGTTTCTTTTGTCAGCTGCACTTTTAAGTAATGGATATGCTTGAGTATATTTATTAATTTTATAAAAATAATCGCCAAGTTTATATTCTGCTGCTGCACATCCTTTTTTAGCTGCTTCATAGTACTGTTCAATTGCTTTCTTCATATTCTTCTTGGTGTTCCAACCAATTTCATAACATCTTCCAAGGAAATATTGTGCAATTACATCACCATTATTTGTAGCGGCAAAAAATAAATCAAATGCTTCTGCGTTACTTTTTTCTATACCAATATCCCAACTATAAAATAATCCAAGCATGCAAGCATTCTTTGAATCACCTTTATGTTCAACCAACCAATTAAAAACTTCTTTTTGATTCTTGCTATGTTTAGATATGAAATTTATAATTATATCACGAACAGATCTACCTTCATTAAATAGTTTATTAAAAGTTGAATATAGTTCGTTTACAAAAAGATTCATCTCTAATTTAGGCTGATTTTGTTAGTGCTAGTGAACAAAATGACGTCATGTAGATCACTGGGTTATGTCCCCGAGT